TTCATTTTTGGGTGAACTAACCCTTTACAGATAGATTTGTTTGTTATAAACACGCAGCTTTTTGCACATTCATCTTGGATTCTTTCAATATTTTGGATGCTGTACAACATATTATCGGTTTATATTATTTTCCTCCTGTCCATGTGGCCTTTTTGGAAAAGTTACTACATTGTGTCTAATAATAACATGCTCACGTGTTTTCTGAGCTGTGCTGATTTCTCTGATGCTCTTCAGGTGAAATCCTCTCTGAGATGCCTGGTCTCCGCTGGAAAGAAGATTATGAGGCAACCATATTGTTCCAGCATCTGTCCCTGTGGGACGCTCTGCCATACACACATGAGGTAAGAAGTCTACATGACCCTGACTTTACCCTGAGAAACAGAAACATTTACTCTGAGAAATGAATCTCAAAATCCAACTTCTTTACCCTCGAGCCTTTCAAATCCCAATTCCCGGTCAATATGGAGAATCTGCCTGTGAATAACGGTAACGGCCAGGCATATGGATACACCCTCTATGAGACCACCATCATCAGAGGAGGCTCCTTAAAATCAGGACGCAACATCCAAGACAGAGCCCTGGTTAGTGCTGATAAACTGTTAAGCTGGGCTGTTGTATATGAATATGCATCTGCTCTAATTTAATTTTAATCAGGATTTCCCCCCTAGGTTTTTTTGAACCAAAGTTTCATTGGCATTTTTCATCACAGAAATGTAGAATTAGCTGTTCCTGATGGAAAGGTATGATTTAATTTTTTTTTACATCTTTATATCTTATTTTTGTTCTGTTAATGTTGAGTTGGTCTATTAAAAAACATGATCTTATAATTGTAATATCTTGTAATAATATCCATCCCATTTTCTATCTATTAATATAATATATAAAAACATAAACTCTACAGTTCAAATGCTTAGGGTCAGTAAGATTTTTCTTTGAAAGAAAGAAAATTAATACTTTAATCCAGCAAGGAAACATTAAATTGCTCAAAAGTGACAGTAAAGACATTTATAATGTTTCACCAGAGAACCCTAAAAAAAAATGTATCACGGTTTCCACAAAAATAAGCAGCACAGCTGTTTTCAATATTGAGAATAATAAGAATTGCAGCAAGTCAGCATATTAGAATGATTTCTGAAGACTGGCGTAATGATCCTGAAAATTCAGCTTTAACATCACAGGAATAAACTGCATTTTAAAATATATTCAAATAGAAAATAGTTCTTTTAAATTATAATATTTTACAATATTACTGTTTTTACTGTATTTTTAATCAAATAAATGAATTGACTATTGATTATCTGTAGGAGAAACGCACTTTGAGTCTGCTGGTGGAGAACTGTGGACGTGTGCATTACGGTAAAGACATGGACAACCAGCGCAAAGGTACAGTTAATGACCATCAGTGCTTTGTGTTTTAAGATGTCACAGTCTCTCTGAAACATATTATAACTATCAACCTATTAAAAATCTGTTTTCAGGTATTGTTGGGAACATTTTATTAAATCATACGCCTCTTAGAGACTTCACAATATATAGCCTGGATATGACTCCTGACTTTATTGACAGGTGAGTAAAATCTTACTATGTGACAGGCCATGAAAGATAAAAGAAAAGTAATCATCGATGCTTTTATTTCAGCTTGTACAGGGCACCTTGGAAGTCTGTCCCTAACAAACCAAGCTTCCCAGGATTTTTCCAGGGAAGGTTATTCGTGAATGGATATCCCAGTGACACTTTCATGAAGCTGCCAGTGAGTTTAATGAAATAGCACAAGATTCGAACTCTTAAAAGTAATAGTTCACCCATGAAAATGAGTTGAAAGTGTACTCACCCTCAGGCCATTCACTATGCAGATGAGTTTGTTTCTTCATCAAAACAGATTTTTTGAAAAATGTAGCATTACATCACTTGCTCACCAATGGGTCCTCTCTGCAGTGAATGGGTGCCGTCAGAATGAGAGCTGATAAAAACATCACAAAAATCCATACCACTCCAGTCCTTGTGAAGTGAAAAGCTACAAGTTTGTAAAAAAAAAACAATTCCAGCATTAAGGCGTTTTAAATTTCAACCATTGCTTCTGGCCAAAATACGAATTTATAATCCATAATAACACTTCCTCCTATAAAAAATATTCTTCCCTTGTTGTCATCTCACATCAAAATCCACCAACATATTCGTTTAGAACGGTTTTGGACTGTTTTCACTTAGAAATGGTGTTTGATCGTATTTTACCCTTAAAGCAATAGCTTGAAATTTGAAACATCTTAATGATGAATTTGTTTATCACAACGTGGCTTTTTGGTTTACAACACGTTAATTGGTGGACTGGAGTCATGTGGATTCCTTGTGGATTATTGTGACGTTATCATCAGCTGTTTGGAATCTCATTCTGACGGCACCCATTCACTGCAGAGGACCCATTGGTGAGAAAGTGACACTAAATTTCTCCAAATCCGTTCCAATGAAGAAACAAACTCATCTACATCTTGAATGGCCTGAGGGTGAGTACATTTTCAGCAAATTTTCATTTTAGGGTGAACTACTCTTTAAAAATTTGGTTAGAAATATTGTACTGATTATTATGTCCCCATGCAGGGTTGGAGTAAGGGTGTAGTCTTCATTAATGGCCAAAACATCGGACGGTACTGGGATGCTGGACCACAGCAAGCTCTGTTTCTACCAGGACCCTTCCTCAACAGTGGAATGAACCAGGTCAGTTTATATACATTTCCATATATAAATTTATGCTATATAGATTTTTTGGTATGTGTTTGAAGAATTACTGCAAATGTCAATGTTGAACCACTGATCTATAATAGAGATATAGATCAGTGTGTTGAACCCATGTAATATTATTTAGAATCTTGAATAAAATGTTTGGAATTTTAGTGGTGGAATTTGTTTCCATGGCAACAAATCAACAAAAATTCTCTGTTTTTCTTTTATTCAACAGGTGATTGTGTTTGAAGAAGCAGAAGCGGATTTTAAAATCCAGTTTGAAGATTCTCCTGATCTGGGAATGACAGCTGACATCTAATGAACAAAATTCAAGAATGTTTTATGTAAATCAACATACGGCTAAAGGACACAGGACTCTACTATCAAATACATAAACACTATCAAAGTGCCTGAACAAAAATGAAATGAGCAAAAACTTGTATGTCACTGTTGGATTGTTAAAACATTAATAGCACATTTGTATTAATAGCATGGCTTTGCATTCCATGATATTATCTCAAATGTTTTCATGAAAAAGTGCAGTCTTGCTGGGGACTTTGTAATTTTGTGTTCGAATGGAAAATGTTTGAGCATGTTGAGATGGACTGCCTATTATAACTCAGTTGAGGGTGTGTGTTTGAATGACAGCTTCATTTGTTAGCAAGACACAAGGTAGATTTAGGTTTTTGATTGTCTCATGCTGTTTACTGGCTGAAATTGGTCATATTAGTGCAACATTTAGTTTATTTTTATATGAAAATGTAAATGTTGCACTGGCCATGTATGCAACAGGATTTTTCTTTTCAGTAATTTCCACAGGCAGCCAATTGGTTACATGAGTGCATTTACTGTAGATCCAGCGTTATTGTGTTGTTTTCCCTTTGTGCAAACACTGAGAAAGATTTTATATTTAGCCTAAACTGTATTTTTGATTTGAGGTTTGTTCAAATTGAACTTGTAGCATTGTTTATGCTACAGACATACTGTGCATGATACCTCATATTTTTACAGTTCAATTTAGGAAGGATCTTTTTAAACCATCAGACTTTGGCCTAAATTTTATCTGGCAGACAATAAAACAGGTTTTAAAAAATCCAACTTGAGCCATATCTATGGGCAGAATATGATTGTGTGATCGTGTGACAACAACCACCTAGCAATTAAGCGTTCATCAAATACTATTTCCATCTAAACTTCAACTCAAATCAGCTTTGTAAACTTCTTTTAGAATCAATGTTTTCCAGAGCATTTTCTGGAATAAATCACTTAAATCCTTTTTTAACTGAGAATTGTTCTTCAATGAGAGTGTCTTAAGTCTGGAATACACTGCACGACTTTTAAAATCTGGACAAATCTTAAAACACTATGCATTAAAAACTTTGACAACTTTGTAAATGGTTTCAGAAAAAACAGGGCATCATACACTAAATGAGTGAAAATCACGCATTAAATATGCAGTATTGCATTTTTACACCGAATTTTGAGCAGACAAAATAAAAAGAGTGTGCCCATCATACACCCTGTGATTTTCTGTAAAATCCGCACTGTAAGAAAATGCTTGTAATTTGAATGGTAAATGGTTATCAGATATGGTGAAAAACGATACATATATTGGAAGATTTCATGTAAAATACTCTTAAATACAGTTTTTGAAAGTAAAAAGGCAAGTCAAAAAGAGCATCTTATAATTTAGTGGAAAATTGGTCCTTGTGCGACACTTTGATCATTTTTCATTAAAAAAAAAATCTTAGTTTTTTGTTATCAGTTATGTACATTAGGGCTTTACGTATGTTACATCTCATGTTGTTAAATTAATGGTTATTGCATTATTTAAGTCTCATGTGTTACCATGATGGTGGTTTGTATTTTTGTGGATGAAACTGTGCACCTTCTAATTATTAATATTCGCAGCTTGTGGAAAAGCGACTTGAACTTTGATTCATCGTGTGGCTCCCTCTTTACCACCTGTGGTTTTTATGATAGTTGTCAGTTTCTTCTAAAGGTGCCAAACAGATTCTAGTACTTTGGCATTTTGCCATTATAAGACAATGACGTTATTTAACTCTAAATTAGTTCAGTCTGTAAAATCTGTACTATATTTTTTGCAATAAGGTTCTAGCAACTTCAGCTGCTGTTTTTTTAACCATACATTTTATAGATTATTTTTTACAGCGTGTCAACTTTTGCCCAATATCTGTAGACTGGCTGTGACTTTTTAACATGCATCGACTCCTCCAGACTGCAAATCAGGGCAAAAATCTGGGCAAAAGTCGTGTAGTGTATTCCAGCCTTAAGTCAAATACTTCAATGTGTCTCTGATTGTTTACATTCAATGCAGTAAACAATATGTTTTATTACTTCTGTTACAGATACTTAGGCTTCGTTCAACTTCAAAAACAGTATGAAAGCAGTTCATTATACTTCCATGCTGCCATTCGTGAATCCCTTTTTTCCTTCATTCACAAGCAAGGGTCTTTCTGTCCGGGTGTGCCAAACCAGTATCTAAAAAAACAAAAAGATGAACACATTTTTCTGTTAACATTGACAAGCCTTTTGATTTCAAGCCAGGTTATGAAGATTCAGATTCACAACTGACCTTTGTGCAGTTAGCGGCTTTGGGTTCCAGGTCACTGAGGGTGACCAGATCCTGTAGCAGACTACTTTCCTGGTATCCACCTTTTACCCCTTTTAACTTAAAGTAGGCTTGAGGTTTGCGAAGGATGAGCTGAAGGTTCACGGCAAACCCAGCCATGTCGATGGCAAAAGGTCGACGAGGGTCAAACACCGTCCTCCAGCCGAACACTTTGCCTTGAGAGTTGATTTTGGGCGATTCGTATCGGAGACCTCCGACGAAGGCGACCGGCCATACTGACGCTTTACGAGTCCAACGCATCTGCGGTATGAGGAAGATGGAATCGGTTAAGCGTAACGACACTATGAACGGTAGACCAAACGTACCGTACCTCCTCGAACAGCTCCAAGCTGTAAGTATTGTCATCATCTGCAAAATACACGACTCCTTTATGAATGGAGTTTGGGTTGATGTTCTCCCTGAGCCAGTGGAGAGCCAGGTTCCTCTGCATGGTGCCTCGTGGGATACGTATATTTCTGGGCTTCTTTTGTGTCTTGAGATTCTCAGGTGTCTCTACATTCAAGTGAGTGTAATTCAGTCCCGTGTTCTCCAGCAGCCTGGACATCAGAGCCGTCTTCTGCGCCGAGTCCTCCACCACCAGCCAGTGAAGGTTGGGGACGTGTAGGAAGGTGTTAGTGAGGCGGGTCAACTCGGCCTTCTGGACGGGTCTACTGTAAGTTGGCGTTATTACGTGAAGAGTTGGCAATGTGTCAGACCAGGGTGGAGGTCGCTGGTGGATGTACCTCATCTGGTTGGCCTTAGTGATGCGCTTGTTCTCCGTGACGCAGGACTCATGAAGTCGAAAGCCTCTTTGGTGAGCTTTACTGGCCCTAGTTCTGTTATCTGTCCATCAAAAAATAAATAAAAAATTGGGGGTTTTATTTTTGTGGTGCATCCAGTGTCATAGTACACAGCACTTGCCATTATTGCACAAAAGTGGCATACTATTGACATGCAAGGCATTTGATTGCACTATATCAAGAAGTAAACAAAAATGTGAGTGAGCAGTACTTGCAATTTCCAAAAAAAACACGTTTCATAAAAGTATATAATGCACTAACATTTGTGAGCTAATATTTTAAATGTGACCACATTGCTACTACTAAAATTGTCAGTGAGCTGTACTTGCAAATTCCAAAATTATAAAACCATGTTTCATAAAAGTATATTGCTCTAATGTTTGTGAGCTAAATGTGACCACATCGCCACTAAACGAGGCCGCTGGAGTGATTGCTAATGAATACACGGCTCGATAGCAGCAGAGCTTTTATTATGCCACAGTCGACCGCTTCTGCTTCTTCTGGTCATGCGTATGTGGGGTAAAACAGCGCTGTTTTATACTAGATATATTTGAGTGTATTGAAAGTTCCGTTATAATGCTACTCTGTGCGTTCGTCACCTGTCTAATAATATTTGGGGTTTCCATGTTTTCAACGGAAAAATCGAGGGGTTATGATGTCATTGGCAGGTGACACAATGACACTAAAAAATACTATGACCGTGTCACTAGTTAAAATGGCTTATTTCTCTGGATTTAAACATTCTTCAAAACATTTGGGATAATGTAAGTACACAAGTCAGCAAAATATATAACACTGTTCTAGTGGTTTTGGGATATTTTAATCAAAAAAATCTTACATATTGTGCCTTTAAGACACTGCATAATATCTATCCAACTAACTCCCAAATTGCTACTTTTGCTGATGTTTCTAGTTTGCGTATTCTGTAAGACTGAGGAAGACACTTTGCTTAGTTTATTTTATAACTGTGATCAGATACATGTGAATGTGATCTAGATTTTTCGCTGAAATATAGCCTACGTTTCTTTATTTTTCTGACAGTAACCATGCTGTTGAACTTCTGTAAATTTCTTTGTTTTGCATTGCAAATTTTTTCATTCACAAGGACAAAGTCCCCAACATGCTGCCTAGATATGTCTTTCTTGCTGAAAATGTAAACACTGTAAAATCTCTTAAATTCATAAATAATAGAATAACGTATTTCTGATATCTTTTTTTACAGACTGAGGTTTCCTTCGTTTACCTCTTTGTACTTTTTTTCGTTCATTTCACTTTATGTTCTTCGTACTTCAAATAGCCTACGTTGCTGTTTCTTCTACTTTGCAATGAAATATATAATAAAGCCATGCTACCGTCTCAACCGGATAAGCAACCGGATGTGCCACCACAACGTCCAACGGCATGTGCTAGTGGCACAAAAAGTATCCACCTGTTTCCGGGGGGCGCTACTGTAAAAAAGAACATGGGTACAACTTCCGGCGAGGCGGCGGAAGTAGTATACCAATGGTATTTTGTGTGCTAATTAGCGAAGAGGCCAAGTGTTTTTCGGGTCTTTTCCACTGTCGGGCCGGTGCGAGCCAGTGCTTTCAGTAGGCCGGGCGGGGCTAATAGCCTCAGACCTGTAGCACCGAGCCCAAAATCACGCTACGTTTCCACCGTCGGGCCAGAAGCTCCGCTGCGCTTCACTAAAACCCGCCTTTACACGCCTCTCTGGAACAACGACACGCAACCCCATCATTTCCCCAACAAAGAGAAGTTATCAGAAATAAATCACTGTAACTAGCGAGATCACAAAACGAACATGATAAAAGCGGCCGTTTGTTTGCATGTTTTGTTGTTTTCTTAAAGATTTAAAACCAAAGCGTTTTACCAGTTTTACAATGATAAGTGCTACATTGATTAATTAGTTTGTGTCAGGATTGATAATTAGTCACACAGAAATAAAGTGGTATTTACCGTTATTTCACAAAAGAAAGACACACATAGCCTATTATTCAGTCGTGACTGTTTCTGTTTATTTGTAGTCACAGACAGTTTAGGTCTACATCACATTTAGAAAGAATGATCATTTCTTATCATTTTCCATCAAAAATACGACCATGAGTTAGCTTTAGTACTCTCTCCAGTCCCAATACATTATTATATTTTCAGTCAGAAAAACAGTGAGCTCCCGAACAAAAACTAGGTTAATGATTTATGACATACGCGGAGCTAAATATGAACATCAGGTATAAAGAGAGGAGACTTATTGACAGATAAAATATGTAAATAAATAAATACATCACTTGTCTGATTTTTTCAGGCGGTCGTATTTACTATGTTTACTCAAATCTTCGCTTGTTTACTTTGAAACGGAAGACGTTCCCACTTTTGACGCAAGGCCTCATGGGGCGTAGGAAACTTGTCGATAGCATTTCACTAAATGCATAAATTCTCTTGTAGCATTTTAAAGGTAAGAATGATATTAGTATTTACCTTTAGGAACTGGAATCAGGGAGTTGCCAGCGCGCTGGTGCCAAAATGTGATCAATAAAGTCCACGGTAACAAAATCAAAAAGAGTGCCAGGACGTCCCTTCTTTTCGGCATGTCTTATCTGTGGCAAAAAATAAATAAATAAACAAAATAACTGAATGAACACCGGTAAAATTCAACCGTTTTACTAGCGGTTACCGGTAGTTAATTAACTCGCTGAAAGATATATGAGATTAATCGGACGAAGACAATACATAAACGTATATTACAACTTATCTGCCCAAAATGACGTGAATGCGAAAGTGAACTTGAACTTATGTTATAAAAATGCCGGTTCCCTAGTAAAACATTGATAATGATTAACTACATGGTTCCTGCGGGTCTTAAAAAAAGTCTTAAATTTAGTTGTATCAAATTTAAGGCCTTAAAAAGTCTTAAATTGTACAAGTCTTAATTATGATTTCAAGAGGTCTTAAATTTGGGGACAGAAAGCCCAGAATTGCAATATGGCTGAATGTGACGATTAAACTTCAAAAGGCTATGATTTCATTAAATAAACATGAGCGTTGCAGGTTCAAAGTCCGGTGCTGCGCTGCTTTATGTTCTGCTGTTACCGGGGAAACAGTTATATTTCTACCCACTGATCTATATATGACCCACTGTTCTATATTATAGATCAGTTGTTTCTACCAAATGCTTCACCTGCTGGCAGAGAATAAATGAGCATTTTCAATAAAACTGTTGTTTTGTTCAGAGTTCAGACCAATGCGAAAATCAACCCATGTTTTTACCCTGCAAACACGCAGAACTTTAAATGTGAACTGGTGATTTGATAAGAAGACAATGCATTTTAAAATCTGAACAGTATAGGGGTGTGCGATATGTATGGTCTGCGATAATATCGTAATTGTTGTTTTAACATTTTAGACACCATATTTCCTGCTTTTGCTCTATTTCTCCAACAAAAGTCATTCCAGACACAGCCACAGCACTGTTTTGCGTCTCTGAGCAACATGACGGTGTTTCGTTCCTGAATGAATCAACCGTTTAAATCAGGACTGTCCAAACTCGGTCCTGGAGGGCCAGTGTCCTGCAAAGTTTAACTTCAACCAATTAAACAGCTAATAAAGCTCTAACTAGGCATACTGGAAAATACCAGGCAGGTGTTGAGGCAAGTTGGAGCTAAACTCTGCAGGACACCGGCCCTCCAGGACCGAGTTTGGACACCCCTGGTTTAAATGATTCGGTTCAGTCCCAATGACTCACTTAACAGTGACTTGCTGCCACCTACTGGCAGTTTTAATTTCACATTTAAGG